GCTCTCCGTTGCTCTGGGACACTTCACAATGCACTTCTGTCCTGTTCAGCCAGGTCTTCGCGATCTCTGCCACCCCCTCCGACTGCCTTGTCCGACACCTCGCAGCTTCCTCTTGAGCCTCCCATTGTGTGCGGTTGTGCTCGCGCCCCACCTGCAAAGACGGGCAGGGGGGTGGGAGGAGGAGGAGGAGGATGAGGATGAGGAGGAGGACCAGTGTAATTCCGAGACTCATCAACGATGTTGGAATACATTTTCCCTCCGAGTTCTTTCTTCATAGGCCCCTACAAGGGTATATATGCACTGAGGAAACTGCCCCGTTGGGAAACAACCTTCCTGAATATTTCCGAAACTAAGTTTCTGGTACGTTGACCGTGGGAATCCGTAAAGCAAGCAAGCAAGAAGGCATACACCCGGAGGTGCGCGTAGGACACTGGGCTGGAAAAGTGTTGCGGACTAGAAATTAGAGTTCGGGCCGCGCTGCGCTAGATGGTCAGCTTTGCTGCGCGCGCGAATTGCCGCCGGGGAACTTCATTCGCCAAGAGTGTGGTTCAATTCTGACATGCTGCCTGCCGCTGCGCCAGCGACGCGCAGCACCTGGGTTGTCCAGTCTGCGCGTGCCGATCTGCTGGCGAGTTTGCCACGTTTGAGAAGCTGTTGTCGTGCCCGTGTATCTGTCAGAGGGGGTTGTCCCGTTCTGTCTAAAACGATCGCATTGCTCATCCTGGAGATGTATGCCAGCTCGATTCCCGGTATGACGCGAAGACATCGGCAATGGAAACCATCTTACCGTTTTAAACCGTTTTCTCTCCGCAGCATTCAGCCACAAAGTCGAATTCACGCGGCGCTAAGGCGATAGCCATTTTTTGAAAACGAACCGCCATCAATCTGTGAAGCTATTGCAGTTCTTTCAGACGACTGTGCGCGGCGCTAAGACTAAAACCACATTTTGAAAACGAACCGCCCTCAATCCGTGGAATTCTTTGTTAATGTTTAAGACGAATGTGCGCGGCGCTGAGGCGAGAGCCACATTTTGAAAACGACCCGCCGTCCATGTGTGAAACCCTTGCCAATGTTTAAGTTTCAGGGGCTTGCATGGTAAGGAAGTCTCAGGCGAAACGTCCGGCCCGCCCTTTCGACAAGCCTCGGGGTGCGACAGGGAGGAGTTATTCATGAGGAGAAAGAGTGGAAGGGGGTATATGTGCAAGCAGCGGTGAGCGATAGTTCGTCCCAGAGGGGTCCTCAGCTCTGCGACCAGAACAGAACAGATGGGGCAGGATGATGAGACCAATGTATTATCCCGTTGCGCTGCAGCTGTCTTCGCCTCGAGGCCGACCCCTGCTGAATACCCCTCGTACGTCGGGGTGGGATCTAGCTCGCTTCCCGTGCGCTGACGACATCAACCTAAAATAAGCCAAGTCTCTGGGCGATGTGCTGCACGATCTTTCACAGATTGCGCAGGTGAGCGCACAAGCGCATACACAGACCGCGTCTGCCGTTTTGTCCACGCCAGGAAGATGAGGAGGAGTTCGCCCAGCACCCCAATCAGAAAGCGAGGGGATGGGGGGTCCTCAGAAAAGAGCGAAGCCAAATGTTGAGGGCAACCGCTGGTTTCGCCCGGGGCTGGTTTCGCCCGGCGCTGGTTTCGCCCAGGCTGGTTTCGCCCGACGCTGGTTTCGCCCGGGCTGGTTTCGCCTGGCTGGTTTCGCCCGGCTGCGTTCGCCCAGCTAGCTGCTTTCGCCCGGCTGCTGGAGGAGGTGCAGGAGGAGGAGGAGGAGGAGGAGGAGGAGGAGGAGGAGGAGGAGGAGGAGAGAAGGAGGAGAGATGATGGGGGGAGGAGGAGGAGGAGGAGGAGGAGGAGGAGGGAGGAGGAGGAGAGGAGCAGGAGGAGGAGGCAGGACGAGGAGGAGGAGGAGGGAGGAGGAGGAGAGGAGGAGGAGGAGGAGGCAGGACGAGGAGGAGGAGGACGAGGTGGAGGAGGAGGAGGAGGGAGGAGGAGGAGGAGGTGGAGGTGGGGGAGGTGGGGCAGGAGGAGGTGGATGCGGAGGTGGTGGAGGAGGTGGCTGAGGGAGGGCAGGACGGAGGGAGGAGGGAAGAGGGTTAGGGCCGCTGGACCCGACCCGACCCGACCCGCCCGTTAGGGTCCACCCGTCCCGACCCGACCCGCCCCGCCCGTTAGGGTCCGCCCGACCCCACCCGACCCGACCGTTAGGATTCTCGCGTGCTCTCTCGATTATGCACCACACTTTAATGTCCTGCCCGCCCGACCCGACCCGCCCGTTAGGGTCCGCCCGCCCGTCCCGACCCGACCCGCCCGTTAGGGTCCGCCTGACCCGACCCGACCCGACCGTTAGGGTTCTCACGTGCCCTCTCGATTATATGCACCACACTTTAATGTCCCGCCCGTCCGACCCGACCCGCCCGTTAGGGTCCGCCCGACCCGACCCGACCCGACCCGCCCGTTAGGGTCCGCCCGACCCGACCCGACCCGCCCGGTAGGGTTCTCGTGTGCCCACTCGATTATGCACCACATTTTCATGTCCCCCCCGCCCGAGCCGAGGAGGAGGAGCAGGAGGAGGAGGAGGAGGAGGACGACGACGACGACGACGGCGACGGCGACGACGCCAACGACGGCGGCGGGAGCGGACTCGGCGAGACCAGCCCCGGCGAAACCAGCGGGGCGAAACCAGCGGGGCGAAACCAGCGCCGGCGAAACCAGCGTCGGGCGAAACCAGCGCCGGCGAAACCAGCGTCGGGCGAAACCAGCTCCGGCGAAACCAGCTCCGGCGAAACCAGCCGGGCGAAACCAGCCCGTGCCATGTTGAGGAGGGCAGATCAAGAAGACGGGCGGGGCCGAGTATGAACCGAAATTCGATCCCCTGAGAGCAGGGACTTGCCTGGTTTTCGATGCTCTTTTGACACCCCTGCCGCGGCTCCTTCGCGGTGCAGCGTGCAGTTATCAGAGCCTACCTCGTCTTGGTCGTCTCCCCGTATCCTCGCCATCAGAGCCTGCCTCCTCGTCGCCCTCATCGATGAGGATCCTGCCGTCCAGGGTGGCCGGCGGCCGATTGAAGCGCAAAATCCTTCAAAAAGCTTGTGCATGATTCACCAGGCCAGCGCCCCATTTGCCGACCACTACAACTCCGAGTTATGTGGTATCCAAAGCATACGGAAGCTCCCCCCATTCTGAAAGTTGGCGTCACATCCGCCTGAAAGCCTTTGAAAGCTTGCGTCCGGCGTGTTGTGCCTGAGACATCCTTGCAACTCATGGTTCGGAGATAATGTGCGACAGGTGGTCCGCCCCCTTTCGCCTGAGACATCCTCGCAACACTAGGCTCCTAGATGCCCTGCCCTGAGGTGGTCCGGCCCATCTCGCCCGAGACATCCTCGCAACCTTGGGCTCGGGGATGCCTCGGGGGAGGTGGTCCAGTCCTTTTCACTTGAGACATCCTCGCAACTCTGGGCTCCGATATGCCCTGACCTGAGGTGCTCTGGCACCGTTCGCCTGAGACATCCTTGCAACTCTAGGTACCGAGCTGCCGCGCGCGAGGTGGTCCGGTCTGTGGAGTTCTGGGCTCCGAGATGTTGAGCGCGAGGTGGTCTGGCCCGTTTCTGTTGAGACATCCTCGCAGTTCTACGTTCCGAGAGGTGCAAGGGAGGAGGGATGGGTCAGGCTCAAACGAACTATTTGATGTGGACCTCCCGCCACCATACTTGGGTTTTAGGTCCGAGGCCTTTGTGTCGCATAGCGCGCCCCTGCCCATTTCAGCACAGCCGTCAATCGTTTTGAGGCCCCACAGGGTTCCACCTATGGCCTCGTTGGCAGGGTATCGCATGCGGCCCCTCCGGCCCAGTGCGGCAACAGTCACGCGTGCCGCGGCTCCAAACTGTGTGCGGCACCTTACCGATGAGGCTTTCGGTGGAACTCCCTGTGGGTCCCTGTGGGACGATATGTGACACCTCGGTTACTGCGGTCTTCGGTGGAGTGAAGAAGGAATGAAAGCATGTGCAAGGAACTTTCCTACGAGGCGGGAATTTACAAATGACCACCGCCTGGAGGATCAATTTTCGAGGACATCGGGAGGCGGCGGATATGGAGCCACCAGACCAGGACGTCGGTTCCCAGGCGGTGTACATGCATAAATCCCCACCTCGTAACGAGGTTCCTGGCTGTAGCCAGTTTGACGGTTCATTGCCTGCATCCAGCTGCTTCGGGCTGGGGGCTCCGCTGCCAACCGGGGCGCGACGATCCTACGATCGAGGCAGATGGGGCTGCCGCGCACGCGATCGAGGCAGATTTGGCGGCCGCGCATCCAACAGCAAAAGAGCGGTGGAAATCATGATGATGACGCGGAAGGCGAGAGCACTGAGGCCGAACAAGTAAATTGAAGGCTCTCCAAGGCCCCTTGTCTTTCGAAGCGCGTGATGGCCGTTGGAACGCTTTTGCCAGGTGTAGCTCGGGGGCCAAGCTGTCAAACGGCCGGCCATTCAGGCCCTGTTGGCAGGGGCGATCCCATGTTAGCCTTTTGACAGTGGGGCCCCACTGTCAAATGTGCAGGCCCAGCCAGGGCGCAGTGGAGTTGAGCCCGCCAGCGCATTTGACAGTGGGGCTCCACAGTCAAATCCTAGGGGGGTGCCGGGTCCAGGCGGCCAACGAGGTCCGATCATCTATTTGACAGTGGGGCCCACTGTTAAATGGGCACCCGGGGGGGCCAGGTTGAGGCGGGCAGTGAGGGCATGCGAGGAACTTGAGTTCTGATCGCCCATTTGACAGTGGGGCGCCAACTGTCACATGGGCCACTGGGTATCCCGATGAACCATTTGACAGTGGGATCCCCATTATTAAATGGGGAATCGGAAGGCCTGTGTCGTCGATTGCCCGTTTGACAGAGGGGATCCCAGTCAAATGAGCAATTCGCTGAGTAGCTTTCGCGACCCCCCCCCTGCCAGTGGGGATAAGGGGGGGAGAATATCACACTCCTTGGAGATCCCAAAAGGGTCGG